CCCCCCCCCTCCTGCTTCCTCCGTGGGGCTGTATTTTTCCCCGGCCCCCACCAGCGGTATTCCCAGCGGAGATCCCTCTCCATCGATCTACTGGCTCTCGCCTTGGGTGTGTCTCTGAAGCGCATCTGTACCTTTCCAGAAGATCTGGCGAGTGGCTCCCTCCCCCCACCCACCCACCCACCCCCCTTTCTTCTTCTTCGCCTTCCAGACTCTATCGTGGGAATCCACACACCCGGTAAGCGTGGGGATTATTCGGGGATATTTCTCCGAGAGCGACGGGGGAGCTGTTGCTTTGAGGCTTTTCCTGCATGCGGCGATCGTATATATACATACATAGGTATGCATATATATTTCCGCCCATCCAATGCACCGTGCAGATTTGGGTGAGCAGGATTTGGCCAAGCGTGTTTTTAATGTTCGTAGCTTGTTTCATGCTTCGAGATACATAGGCGATCTGGGCTTAGAATGAGCCCTTGCTAAGGCTTGTCCCCTTTTGCTGGCGAATGTGGGGCACGTTTGGGGCGGGCTCTGCAGCTGACACCAATTCTGCCTGGGTGTATAAAAAAAAGTGAACCTCGCACAACGGAAGCAGAAGGGTGGTACACACCAGACCCTTGCTCGTACACCCTGCCTTATTATTATTATTATTATTATTATTATTATTATTATTATTATTATTATTATTATTATTATTATTATTATTATTATTATTATTATTATTATTATTGCATGTGCACAGGTCTGGATTTGGGGTGTGCAATTGGGTTGGGTGTGCATGCGTGTGTGTGTGTATGTGCAGCCTTCTGCTGACAGCATGAATTCCTGCTTTATTTTTTTGCAGCTTGTATGTGGGTTGGGGGAGCCCTGGTTTTGTGTGTGTGTGTGGTTTTTTAACACCCATTTCGAGTGCCTGATACATGCGTGTGCGTGCATGTGTGTGTGTGTGTGTGTTCACGCGCATGTGTGATCTTTCTTGGGTGATGTCAACCTGCCTTGTGGGGTGGACAGCTTTGATCGTGGTCCTTGTTTACAAAAAAAGTGCCTGTATGTGTGTGTGTACAAGAGTGTGGCGGAGGGGGGTGTTGCACATCTGTCTCCCTTAGGAGGCAACGGTGTGAGATGTTTTCGGTCTTGGCTTGTTAACAAACAGAGGTGAATCTTATCCTTTCCCTCTGATTCTTTGCTTCTTAATTTCTCTCTTTCCCCCTCCTCTCTCTCTCCCTCCCTCGGCTCGCTCTCTCCGTTTTTTTTGTAACATGCATGGATTATAATCTTAGTTTTATTAGCCATCCTGGTATTTTAGTGTTTCTCAGCCTTGATAACTTTAAGAACTGTGGACTTCAAATCCCATAATTCTTTCTTTTCTTTCTCTTTTCTCTTTCTTTCTTTTCTTTCTCTCTCTTTTTCCTTCCCTTCCTCCCTCTCTCCCTCCCTCTCTCTATCTCTCTCCACTGTTTTTGCAATGTTCGCTTGGGTATCTGCCTAATCCTTCTGTCTCTCCATGCAGGTGGTTCTCTGCGTTTTGTCCTAGCTGGTGCTCCTCCTCGCCAATCCTACTGCCTCTCCATCGCTCGGAAGAGGTTGGCTGATTGTGGGGAT